GTTTCGGATAAGGTTTCGGAAGCTATAATCCGAAACCCGAAACTTTCAGATTTTAGCTCAAAGGGTTTCGGGGCCAATTCTAGCACTATCATAGTAAGCTGCCGAATAAAATGCAATATTTAATGCAATTTATAATACAGATCAAATGCATAGAATAATACAAATATGCTTGAATTTTGACATTATGATAGTTTATTTTTCTTGACAATTTGATTAGTTTTCTGTGATATAATATGTACTCTTTTTGCATCACTTCATATCAATCGATATTTTCTTTCTGAATATTTGTCTATCTATAGAGATTCGGATTTTTTGCATCCTTCTTGAAATATTCCATGCCAGCGAGAAGTTGGCTATTATTCTAATGATATGTTGAAAAGCTCCATTAAATGCTTATTAGATCTTCGTTCTACATAGTTATTAATGAATTCTGAATTTGTGTTTATTAACAAGATGATGCACGTATGTTTTTAGTTCGCACCTGGAAAATGTGTACGTACGTACGTACCAGGCAGTGTTGGAAACTCAAAAGATAATATGGTGATTTTTGTGAACATACTTTATTTTTTATGTACACATTAAAATAAAATAATGATCACAATAAAATTTTATTAATTAGATAAATTTTATTTATGTTCACAAATGTGAACATAAAATTAAAAAATTGTGGTTTTTTTAAAAAATTTATGTTCACTGATACCAGGTTGGGATCGGATTATTATTCGAAAGCTAGATCGGAACGGTATTAACAGTCAGAACTAAAAGCATACCGAAAATGTGTACAAGGTTGTGCTCCGGATGGTCCCGATGGCCACTGAACAAATCTCGATTTCTTTTAATACCAAGAATATCGGAAATTATAATGATCTATGTTTAAAGTCGAGTTTCCTTTGTACTGCGCCTTTATTTATATCTTGATTTGCGCATAACATTAAAGAAAGAAAATAAAAAAGAAATATATTTATTTATTTGAACTACTACTGTAATTCTACTTCAAATTCTTTAACATTAAATCAATAATTACGCAACAAAACATGAAGTTATATGATAAAAAACAAGCTGTATTCTAAAGATTTATTTATTCGTTAAAAGTTCTTTAAATAACTTGCCTGATTTTCGTAAGGAAAATTTTTCTTAGTTCTTTAAACCATCTTTAACGTTACTTTTATTATTACAAATACATTATAGAGAACTCTTACTATAACGAACCGACGTACTGAAAAATATGTTCATTATAGAGAGGTCGTCATATGTATAAATTTATTGAACAAAATTATTAAGTTTTTTTTAAAGTGTTTCTTTTCATTAAATAACACACACAAATCTATTATGATAAATAGATTTTTTTGTTAAAAAAAAAAACTTTATCGTTATTAACCTATTCGTCAAAAGAATTTACGGATTTTCAAATTACAAACAACATACGTACGTACAGTACATAAGTCTAATAATAACTGATAATTAATTGAATTCCGGAGTAGCCATCCGAACAGGCTTCCGGAGCGCAACCTTGTACACATTTTCGGTATGCAAGTAACTGGTACGTCGTACGTAACAAACTTTAAAACCCGTTCATAGACTAAAAACTAATTTCGGATCGGACTATCATCTTACTAATTTTGATTCAGTTAGGCAAACACGTGAACGAGCTTTTATTTATAAATAATAGAATTTGTGTAATAATGCATAAACATTTGTTTACTTGACTTCTTAACGAATATGACGGATTATAACGACCAAGCGCTGCATGGAGAGGACTTTCCTTTATCAACTTACAGGAGAAGATTTTAAGTTAGAGAGAAGCTTTTATATACTATTTCAGGATTTGAATATGACATCAATAATATAATTGGAGCAGGTTTGTAGTCAATATTAATTTAAACTTACATACGACGAAGCTCATGGTATTTTTTGTATTCATAAAAGGAATTTTTGCGACATCTAGCAGCGTATGGAGACTAGTGCAATCACCAGGAGCTGCCTTAATGATTTGGCTTGCTGGTGGTTTCATAAGTTTATTTGGTAGCATGATTTATGTTGAGGTAAAAATTATTAATAATAGACTTAAACTTTTTATTTAAAGTGATCACTTGCTGGCATTATTTGGTATTGGAAACCTTAACGGCTATTTAATTTTTAAAACGCATTAAACATGAGATAAAAATTAAATTTCGTTAGTAACTTTATGATAAATTCTACAAGGTTGATTGAGTTTTAAAAGTTTTGCTTTTGTATTTTAAAACTGAAAAAAATTAAGGGTACTAACGCTATATTAAATATGTAATATATATCCCACGGTTCCTATGCCCATAATATTTCTGATTAAAATTTTTACTGATTACGTCATGGCTGTGGAAAATTTTTTAATATTTTCACAGCATTACGTAATCATAAAGATATCATCAGGAATGTTCACGGGAGAACATTAGGCCACGCAAAGTTAATTTTTCGGTTTACATTACATGGAATCTAAAAATTGAGTCGGTCGGTCGGATTTTTTTTTTTTTAAAAAAATCCGCTTTATTAATAGAATCATGTTCATATTTTAAGGCTACGCAAAGCTAATCTTTTTTTTTTTTGCATAACAAAGGATTAGAAAATTGGGTTGGCAGTCGTTTTTTTCTGTCGGTCCTATCGGATAATTTCAGTATATAAAGTCTTATTGGGTGATACTGGATAAATTAGCAGAAAAAAAAATAAATAGCAAGGGATGTAAAAAAAAAAAAATTTTTTTTAGAAAACTGAAAAATGGGTCGGCGGCTAATGTAAAATGAAAAATTAACTTTGCGTGGCCTTAGGGGCCGTGGGATATATTGTTAGTTATATAATTATTTTTTGATCTTGCTTTTTTACTTACTTTTATTTATGCTCATACAGTTGGGATCTAGGTTCCCTTTTGGATCAGGAGAACAGATATATCTTGAAAAAACATTCTACGGTATAAGAAAATTTGGACATATATTCAGTTTTGTTATGATCACGTGTGTGAACTCCTAAACAAGTCTGACGTTTTTTAAAATATTGATAAAGTATAATAATTCAAACTTCTTAAAAAAGCATAATCGTTCCTGGGGAAATTATAGTTAATTCCTATGTATTCTCCGAATACCTTCTATATGCCATTCAAAGAAATAATGGAAATCAAGAAATATACTTTGGCGTAGACTTTTTGTATGTTAGGTTGTTTTTTAAACCGTACTTATGTGCACCATTTTAACTTATGCTGCATTTAGAGCATTACGGTTTACGGCGATTACTATGTTATTAATTATTACAGTCTACCATATGTACTCCAATCGATTAGCAATTAAGCGTTTGCTTTAATCAAGATTATTGCTTTTTCTTCCGTTTCAATAATTGGTTTAGTAAGTTTATGAGAAGTCGGTTATCGAGAGCATTGGAGTAATATTTTTAATAATACACTATCAGATGAAACATATCAACGATCTACTTTAGAAGAGATTGGGGGCTATGGCAGTGCTATATTAAAGGTAATTCTATCTTATGGCGGTCTCAAATTCTGTCTGAAAACTTACATGAAATTTTAAATGCAGACTTTATATTCATATGAGGGTACGTTGATAAATTTATTTAATGGACAAATTTATTATTAATTACTTATTCATTATTGTACAAATTCAAAGGATGGAACAATTTAAATTGTAAGATTATTTCATTAATTATAGGTGGCTGGTATATATACCCACAATTTTGTTATTCGTATCCCTGTAAATTTAAATTTTTTTAACTTTAAGCAAAGATATCTCGACAACCACCAAGTCAAATCAACAACCATTTTTTTATTCAATCCTATACAGTCTACTCTTTCTATACCGAACCGGCCAAAAAAAAAAAGTTCGTTATATAGAATTGCTATGTTTTCTTAATAGCCATATCTCTTGTTATACCGAATTAATATTAAAATTTGAAAAATTTGAGTTCGTTATAAAGAGGTTCGTTATATCCAGAGTAGACTGTATATTCGTAGAATTCAAGTTCATTGAATTTAACTTGATGGTTGTCGAGGTATCTTCGCTCAAAGTTTGAGAAAAATTTTAGTAAGGGTTTATTTTGATATACGTTTTGAGTTTTCTTAAAATTTGAGCGAAGATATCTCAACAACCACCAAGTTAAATTCGATGAACATTTTTTTATTTGAATTCTACAAATATATAGAATTCAAATGAAAAGCGTTCATCGAATTTGACTTGGTAGTTGTCGAGATATCTTCGCTCAAAGTTTAAGAAACAATTTTGACACAGCTTTATTTTGATAGGCGTTTTGAGTTTTTTTTTAAAACTTCGAGCAAAGATATCTCAAGTCAAATTCGATGAACATTTTTTTATTTAAATTCTATATATTTGTAGAATTCAAATAAAAAATGTTCATCGAATTTGACTTGGTGGTTGTCGTGATATCTTCGTTCAAAGTTTGAGAAAACTCAAAACGTCTATCAAAATAAAGCTGTGTCAAAATTATTCTCAAACTTTGAACGAAGATATCTCGACAACCATCAAGTTAAATTCAATGAAGTTTTTTTTTTATTTGAATTCTACAAACATATAGCATTCAAATAAAAACAATTCGTCGAATTTGACTTGGTGGTTGTCGAGATATCTTCGCCCGATGTTTTAAGAAAACTCAAACCATCTATCAAAATAAGTCTGTCAAAATTTTTCTCAAACTTTGAGCGAAGATATCTCGACAGCCACCAAGTCAAATTTGATGAACTTTTTTCATTTGAATTCTATATATTTGTAGAATTCAAATAAAAAAATGTTCATCGAATTTGACTTGGTGGCTGTCGAGCCTAAAGTTAAATTTTTTAGTTTACAGGGGTACAAATAACAAAACTGGGGTATGTATATAAACCAAAATATTAAAAAAAGAAAAAAATCGATTAAATTTGATTAATGATGGATTTTTTTCTTTTTAGATTCAACTGAGGAATTAGCCTCCCCCGAAACACGACTGAAGCGCTCAAACATTTCTAGTGTACTCATTGCTTTTATATTTTGTAAATTTATTATTATTACTATTGTTGTTATTATGTAGATTATTTTACCTATGATTTCTAACAATATTGATGCTAAGTTTATTTTGTTACAGATTTTCTAACTAATGTTGCATTTATAACGGTAGTCGATCCTATAAATGCAATATATTCTGATGATATTATTGTGGATATTCCCTTTTGGGTGAACTCGGAAAAACGCTTATTTCGATACTCATCACAATTTCTACTTTTGGTTGTGCGGGTTCATTAGTTTTTATGTAAGTTTATTAAAATTTGTGTGAATAATTTGATAAAAATATTTATTAAAGTATCTTCTTAACAGTGGCTCTCGCATTATATCATATTCTGCCAAAACTGGATTTATACCAAAATTTTCTGATAAGTTATATTATTGGGATGAAAGATTTGGAACTCCATTTAATGCTTTGCTTTTGCAATTTGTTTATTGTGCAGTTTTGATTCTTTTATTCCCTGGAGCGGGAAGTACGGGCTTTTTTACATTTTTTGCGCACATGTCTGGGTATTTAACTGTGGTTTTTTATGGTGTCAGTGCAATTTGTATACTTGTAAGTTGAATTAAATATTTTAATTTTATTCGATCAAGCCGTTTTAAATTATTAATTTGATTTTAAATTAGATTTTAAGAATAAGACCAGAAAAATCCGAAGTCTTTTACAGTCATTTTTAAAGTGCCTTTGTTTATTGGTTTGATTTTCTTTATATCTATAATTTTTATTGTCGTCTCACCGTTTTTTCCATCTCCATATAGTAAATATGATGTATTGAATTATCCTTATTTTTTGCCATTTATTATCTCATGGATCGCTGTATTAATAGGAGTAGCTATTTGGTATTTTCGAGATTACAAAAAATTTAAAGTATTAGGGCATTTACAGACATGTAATTAGTTAGTGATCGTAATGGGTGCACAACTATAATTATATTTATGTAAAATTTTTGTTGAAAATTCGAATATGCAAACTAAGATGTAAACAACGATGCAATTAACTAGTAAACGTGACGATGCTTATTTATTATAATCAATCAGTATAGCAATCGTAATTAATATTTGAGCGGTTCATTATTATTTATCCATTTATCAAATTGTCGCCACCAGGTTTAGGCCTTCGATGAAATTCTGATGTTGTACCAAATGAGGAATTATTGGCGAAATCGTTGATTTTGTTACCACATGAGTAAAGGCTAAAAGGTGTTAAGTATCCAGAACTGTTTTGGCCTCCTGATATTTTTTTATTTCCATAAAATTTTAGTAATAATACTTCGTTGATGCTTGTTACTCTGAGATGTGGTGTTAAGTATGCGTACTGATTGTTTATCGAGTATAGTATATATTTATACTGCAGAGTATACTCATTTGTACTTGTGCGTAAGGTTGCCGGCCGTAAGTAATAATTACGGACATTGGAAATTAGAACCTGGGTTGCAACCCTAATTACAACCTATACAAAAAGATGCTGCCTGAAACTTGAGGTATGCGTAAAAACCCGAAATGGTTGGAAGCAGGGTTTAAAATTCATATCGAAACCTACTTGCATAAATGTAGTGTGTCATAGGTTTTAATTGTACAAATCAACTACTAGTTGTACACATGTGCATATAAATTTTATTTTTATATGCACTTATTTATTACCTCTAAGTGATTCAACGGTATAAAATTTTTAAAAAAATCACTATACCAGATATATCTTATATTATTTTTGTTAATATTTATGCTCAACCTTGCTCGTATTTTATGTTCATCATTTTTCCTTTTGGAACTTTTTGGAATATCTTTAGCTTATCCATATTTTATATTTAGACTAAATTTAGTGCAATAAAATTTTATAATTTCTCTTGCACACCATTTTTGCGCAAGCTCCTTATTCAAATTTAATTGCACACTTGTGCATATTTATTTAGAACTTATCTTGCACATGTGCATCTTAATAACAAACAAACCAACAATCTTAATTTATTTCTGTTAAATCATCTTTGCTTATTAAAATTGCCAATATAAAACAAATCACTAATACCCAGGCCAGATATATTATCAATAATATAATAATTTTTACTCTGAAATATTAACTTCAAACCATTGTTTTTAGTCAATCTGCTTGTGATAAATCTTTAAGCAATATATCAGCCTTATTAAACACAAAGCAAAGCTTTGTTATACTATTCTTACTAGCATTCTACTTCATCTACAAAATTTAGAATTTCCAGATTATACAAGTATATGTTTGTAGTTAGGTTATGTATTTGGGTTTACACTATTTTTAATCAATTATCAGGAAATTTTGAATATAGATAAGTAGCGATTACTATCAAATATTTGATAACTATCAATAAGAATTATCAATAATTATCAAATATTTGATAGTAATCGCTACTTATCTATATTCAAAATTTCCTGGTAATTACTTATTTCTATTTGACAATAATTACTAAATAGAGATTGGTTAAAGCAAAATAAAATTTTGATTGTCTATATATATAATGTCAAACAGTAAATATTTATTAACAAATTTTAGTATTTTTATAGTTTTAGCAAAGGTTTCTTAACAAATATATAATTAATACAGGTTGAATCAATGACATATTGGGAGACAAATCTTCTGATATGTACCTATTATTTTACCATAGAATGTTAACAGCTTATAGATTAGATATCAGAAGGTAGATCAATAATAGTAATATAACAGTAACATACTGGGACATTCCGGTATTTTACTCTTAGTCCAAATAGTGCCAAGAGTAAGATACTGGGATGTTCCAGTTATAGTTAGTGGTAGAATTAATTTTTACAAATTAATATGCACATACTGTATTTTTTGCTATAATTGCCATGAGCTATAATGCCATAATGCCATAATGTCATAATGCTATAAAGCTATAATGCCATAATGCAGAAATATTATCTGCTATAATTCCATTCATTAAAATGCTGTAATGTATTATGTTTTCTTTAAATACATACTATTAATTATTTCACAGTTCTTATTTAAATATCTATACTAATTTCTTCATATTTATTGTCTGGATCTTGAACTGATCCAGATTTTAAACCAAATTTCTTTTTTTTTTTTTTTAGCCACAACCATATAAAGTTCTCTTTTTTTTTTGTTTAGCCATAATAATTTAAAATTTGAAATATTTTATTTAAGTTAAAACTTAAAATTCTTTAAATTGCAAAGTTATTTATTTAACTATAATATATTTGTTCCAATTGCTTAATATATATTTATCATTATTCTACTCACTACTTAAATATAATTTTAACATTTCTAGAATTATAAAACTTGTAAATATTAGTAGTTCCATTCTTTGTCATTTCAATATTTTGGGTTTGTTCTTGAATATTTTCAAATAAAATTCAATTCTTTGTTGTTTCAATATGTTGGGTTTGGTCTTGAATATTTTTGAATAGAATTTGATCTTCTGTCATTTCAATATGTTGATAAGGTATAAGCAAATACAATTGATTCTGATGTATATAGTTTTCAATCTTGTTGCTTCATATCTTCAAAAAATTTGCACATTCTTGCTCAAGCTAATTTTTGTTATTAATCTTTTGAATATTATAAGAAATAATCTTTTTATTATGATATTCTTGTAAAATTCAACCCCATTTTTGTATATAGGTGTTAATATTTTTAATTTTAGATTTTTTAATATAATGTTGAATATTATCTACAGTCATATTATTAAATTCATTAGAAGTATTATGTTCTAATAGTTTATGAGCCGAATCAAGATTGTTTGATGAAAACATTGGGAAAGAGTTAATTTTTTTTAATTGAATTTTTTTTATTTAAAATTCTGTGCTTATCAGTTATGTCACTTCTATTAAATAAAGTATAATTAAACCATGAAATAAATCAGTTATTGCCCACTTTGTGGTCAATAACTAATATATATTTTTCAAATTTGATTCTGTCAACCTTGTTGATTTAGTATATGTAATGATAGCCATTCTATAAGTCATTGTCTGAGAACATCTAATTGATCATAAATGACATCATTGTCGGATTACAATAATATTTATAACTGTGTTTTAAAAATTTCATTACAACTATTGTAATTTATGATCATTTTTTTTTTGTTTTTTTTTGCAAATAGATATTATATGTAAAGAATAGACTCATAAAATTTAAGCTGATATCTATTCAAAATTATTAACAGGTTGCAAAGTGGTTTATTTGAATAGCCCAGGTAAGTTGTTTGATTCAGTTGGCCCAGTTAAAAAGAATTATTAATGACTTATGAAACTTTCTATTTATTACTTAATATGTAACTGTTGTAATTACTAGATAGTTCAAATAATGTCATAGAAATAAAGAGCCAAACTCTTCTTTTCCAATTCTTTTGACATTATCTAGTTTATTTAATGTAATTATTATATGCAAAAAAATGCTTTTGTGCAATCATTGTGTACCCTTATTTATACTTTCCATTTTTTGTTGCTCTACATTATAGGCATCTTACTTCATCCCTTTGTAACCATAGAATATTTTTTTTACCTTTGTCATACAGATTTCTTACACTTTAAATAGAATATAAATAATCTTTATACTTACTGACTAATTAATATAAATGAAATGCTTGTATGGCAAATAATAACATATTTAGTTTCTGGTTTTGAGTGACATAGTTACTTAATTATAACATTATAATATTATATTGTAGTTACAATATCGCATTACAATATTGTGTTATTGCAGCATTACGACATTACAGCATTACAACATTATGGCATTACGGCATACAATTTTTATGGCAATTAGATGCTATGTCATAATTAATTCTACCACTGGTAAAATGCCGTAATTCAGTAATTCTACCACCAACTATAGTCCCAATATGTTACTGTTATGTTACTATTATTGATCTACCTCCCAATACAGTATCTAACATATATGTTACCAATATGCTACATACCCGATATGTACCTGTTATTCATTGATTCAACCTGTGCCTCAAGCCAAATTTGATAAACTTTTTTTTATTTGAATTCTACAAGTCTGTAGAATTCAAATAAAAAATAGGTCATTGAATTTGGCTTGGTAATTGTTGAGATAACATCACTCAAAGTTTTAAAAAAATTCAAAACGTCTATCAAAGAAGAGCTACGCCAACCTTTTTTTTTAACTTTGATTGAAGATATTTCGACAGCCACCAAGCCAAATTTAATGAAGATTTTTATTTAAATTCTATGAATACGTAGAAACAAACAAAAAAAGTTCAACAAATTTGGCTTGGTAAATCTCGAGATATTTTCGTTCAAAGTTTAAGAAAATGTTTGGCGCAGTCTTTTTTTTTGATAGACGTTTTGAATTTTTTAAAATTTTGAATGAAGTTACCTTGATATTAACTTAGCCAAATACGATGAATACTTTTTTATTTGAATTCAACAGGTTCGCAGAATTTAAATAAAAAAAAGTTTATCAAATTTAGCTTGGTGGGTGTCGAGATATCTTGGCTCAAAGTTTAAGAAAAGTTTGTTGCAGCTCTTATATTGATAGATGTTTTGAATTTTTTTAAAACTTTGAGCGAAAATATCTCGACAGCCACCAACCCAAATTTTTTGAACTTTTTTTTATTTGACTTCTACGTATGAGTAAACTTTAAATAAAAAAAGATCATTGAATTTGGTTCGGTGGGTGTCAAGATATCTTCGCTCAAAGTTTA